AAATGGGCCAAGGACCTGAACAGACACTTCTCAGAGGAGGACATACAGTCAATCAACAAGTACATGAAAAAATGCTCAACATCTCTAGCTGTCAGAGAAATGCAAATCAAAACCACCCTAAGATACCATCTCACTCCAGTAAGATTGTCAGCCATTAGGAAGTCAAACAACAACAAGTGCTGGCGAGGATGTGGGGAAAAGGGTACACTTGTACATTGCTGGTGGGACTGCAGATTGGTGCAGCCAATTTGGAAAGCAGTATGGAGATTTCTTGGAAAGCTGGGAATGGAGCCACCATTTGACCCAGCTATTCCCCTTCTTGGTCTATTCCCTAAAGACCTAAAAAGAGCATGCTACAGGGACACTGCTACATCGATGTTCATAGCAGCACAGTTCACAATAGCAAGACTGTGGAACCAACCTAGATGCCCTTCAATAGACGAATGGATAAAAAAAATGTGGCATTTATACACAATGGAGTATTACTCTGCATTAAAAAATGACAAAATCATAGAATTTACAGGGAAATGGATGGCATTAGAGCAGATTATGCTAAGTGAAGCTAGCCAATCCCTAAAAAACAAATGCCAAATGTCTTCTTTGATATAAGGAGAGTAACTAAGAACAGTGTAGGGACGAAGAACAGGAGAAGAAGATTAACATTTAACAGGGATGAGAGGTGGGAGGGAAAGGGAGAGAGAAGGGAAATTGCATGGTAATGGAAGGAGACCCTCAGGGTTATACAGTGGAGGAGGTAGAGAGAGAGGAGGGGAGGGGAGGGGAGAGGTGGGGAGGGGGGAGGGGGGAGGATGGGAAAGGCAGTGGAGCACAACAGACACTAGTATGGCAATTTGTAAATCAATGGATGTGTAACTGATGTGATTCTGCAATCTGTGTATGGGGTGAAGGTGGGAGTTCATAACCCACTTGAATCAAAGTGTGGAATATGATATGTCAAGAAATTTGTAATGTTTGGAACAACCCACAATAAAAAATTTAAAAAAAATAAAAATAAAAAAAAAAAAAGAAGTAAAAAATTATAAAAAGAGTGAAAGAAGGAATTATAGAAGCTGGCTGTTAGAAGGGGAAAAGAGAGAAATAGAATCAAGGGAAACAGATAACTGAGAGTAAAAAAAATATATATATATATAAATAATAAAATATATATATTTTTTAAATTAAAATAGAAAAGAAAGTGTGAATAAAATGATACAAAACAAGACTGAAATATATTATTCAGATATCCCAGTACTCAAATAAACTGATGTATGGAAAATAATTGGTTTCAAAAATGGTAGAAATGTGAGAAAAAAAGAAAAAGAAAAGGGAAAAAATGGATCTCAGTGAAAAATTGAACAGTTGTTTCTGCTGGAGTTCAAAAATTTCTCAGCTTCCCTTCTCAGCAGTTATTTGGAGTTTGATGCTTGCTCCTACCCTCGAACTCCTGGAGTTCAGGTGTAGGCTTGGTATGCTCCAGCTTCTTTGCTGAATGTCAGTTGGTCTGGATGTTTTAAGTCAGCATACCTCCATGGACCAGTAGGTGCATGCTGGAACACTTCACCCCAGGAATCTCCTTTGGGTTCACTCATGTGGTGTAGGAACCTGTTCTTAGCCCACTAAATCACTTGCAGACCCCACAATTCCTGTTTCTTTGATTCAGTCTCAAATTCAATCTCTCTTGCCCCCATGTTCTCTCTCAGCTGGTCCTGAGGGCTGGGGCTGAGCCTGCAGGCCAGTCCTGAAGCTCTGTGCTGGACCAGGTAAGTCTGGTGGCTAAGCAGCATGTGGGGTGTTGAAGCCCAACCATGTCAGGGGCCCAGCTGTTCTCTGTTGGATGGGTCAGGGCCATGCACCAGGATTCAAAGCTGCAAGCAGTGGGCCAGGTTGGGAGCCACAGAGGGGTTGGTGGACTGGGGAGTCAGAGGACTCTGTTGGATGCTGGACTCATGCTGGACCTAGCAGGACCTGGGACCAGGGGATTCTGGGGAGGGAGTCGGAGACCAGGCTGGTGCCAGTGCTGGCCTGGGTGGGCCCCAGGGATCAATGGGTGCCAGACCAGCTGGCTAGGGAGCTGAGAACAAAATGCCCTCACACCCTTTTCCAACCTTCCAACTCTGGGACCCGCTGTCCCATCAGTCCCTGTGAGCCTCAGGATTCACAAGGCTGGGGAGACCCCAACTCTTTCCAGCCTCTCTAACCTGTGCTCATCCAGGCAAGATTCTCCCAGTTTCTAATGTTCCACAGCAACCTAGCTGCAAACTGGGATCTGGGTTTTCAGATTCAGTAGGCTCTGCCATGCTGTAGTCCCATGGCTCCTGGATGGGCTCTCAGAGGACAATTGATAGACTCCCGTGGAGAGGTTTTAATTATATCAGATTAATGAGTCAAACAGTCTCTAGTTTGGCTAGGGCAGACTGCCCCTCCAGGTTTTTCAATCTAAGCTCCAGAGAAATGCTGCCTCACGCTAATCCGCCATCTTTGAGCCCCACTTTATGCTGCCTTTTAACAAAGTCATAGTATTATTGCCTACCCAAATCTAGTATGATTGTCTCTTAGCTACTTATATTTGCCAAGACTTTTTCCAATAGAGTCACATTCTGAAGTTCTGAGTTGGCATGAATTTGTGGGGTACCTACCCTCAGGACATACAGGTTTCTCGTCGTTACATCTTCTTGATAGTTTCACTCTTTTTTTTTTAATTATTACATAACAGCCTTTTTGTCTTCAGTAGCCTGTATTTTTCATAAAGTCTATTTTTTCTTGTTAACATAATTTCTCCAGCTCTCTTTGGGTTAAATGTTTGTATGATACAACATTTTTTCATCTTTTAAACTTTCAGTCTAGCCTGGCACAGTAGTATTTACCTGTAATCCTAATGATTTGGAAGTCTGAAGCAGGAGGATTACAAATTTGAGGCCAGACTTGGCAACTTGGTAAATTCTTAAGCAACTTAGTGAGAACATATCTCATAATATTTTAAAAAAAGGTCTAAGGATATAACTCAGTGGTTAAGCACCCCAAGATTCAATGCTTAGTACCAAACACAAAAAACAATAAATTAGAGTGGGGGAGAATTACAAAAATACATCTATTCTGTTTTTTTTTTTTTTTTTATTTGCCTATGTAGTTACTTTTATTGGTGTTCTTATTTTTTTTTCTCATGGATTAAAATGACTGTATAGTATTCTTCATGATGAAGTGAATGACTCACTTTACTAGATTTAAATTTTTTTTTAGTTGTACATGGACACAATTCCTTTATTATATTTATTTTTTTTAATGTGGTGCTGAGGATTGAACCCAGTGCCTCATACATGCTAGGCAAGCACTGTACTACTAAGCTACAACCTCAGACCTTCACTTTACTAATTATTGTAGGGCAGGTTTGCCTATGATTTTCTCAGGTTTTATGTACCTGCATATACATAGTAAGATAGCAAGGGCAAGAATAAACTTTAAGTTGATTAAATAAGCAACTTAGAAACATGGATGGGCTATCCACAAGAAGAACTGGTCCATATTTCAAGTGTGAAATTTTTGAATGATGAGCAACTTTCACTCTAAATAAAAGAGGATTGGTATCATTCATGAGAAAAATCAAAGAATAATATAAATTTTACAAGTACAATACTACCTTTCTGTTTATTCATTGATATAGTCCTAGTGCCCAGCATACTACTTGGCATGTGGTAGATGAATAAATGAATAAAGAATACTAGAGAAGACCAGTGTTGCTGGGAGATTGAAAAAAAATGATTTCTGAGGGTTAGCTTTAATGTTCATGAATTCTGATAGGATGATACACTGGTAAATTAATAGCACAATGTTTAAAATGTAAAATTCTATCCAGTGTTTACTGCATTGATAGGTTTGAGTCCTATGTAACCCATAAATCTTTAGAGATATTTTTGTATAATTTATTTGATTAAATGTTTCTCAGTTTGCAAGTCTCAATGTGTGCTTCTGTTTGGGGAAAAAGATGTTAACTACTGTCGATTTTCATGACAGAATGGGCGCTTAAAGGAGGAACAGAATTGGCACATAAAGAACCTACTAAAGGAACTGAGTGAGGATAAGTCAGATGGATTACCAGTTGTAACGAGAGAGGATGTTGAAGAAGCAATGAAGGAAAAATGGAAGTTTGAAAGAGACCAGGGAAAAAACTTGAGAGGTGATTTAAGAACTTAAGAGAATTTTCATGGAAGTGTTAGTTATTTCTTGAATGTACTAATGCTTTTGTCTTTCAATATATTCAAAATGCTGTGAATATATTTCACATGACATCATTCCCACCACAACCACAAACACAGGCGAGAGAAATAACAAAGTAGGCAGAGGTACTGAAGCCAAGTGAGGAGGAAGAATAAGGGCAGTGATCAAAAATGAAGATGGATGAAATCTGACTCTTAACACTGAACAGCATCTGTGAGAGACCACTCTGAATTTCTTCTCACAGTGTGGATTTTTTCTTTCTTTTGTGACATTCTATTGTTTGGTGGGTTCATTGGCTTTAGATTGGTAATGATAAGATGAATATAACAATGGAATACCCATTCCCAATGTCTCTAATGAAGATAAGCCCCACATTCAGATGGGGGATAGAGGCATTAGACTTAGGAAAGGGGAAGTTTGGAGGACATGGATAGAAATGATGCTAGAAGTGGGAGATCAAACACCTAAGACATATTGACCTAGAAAATCATGGTCTTGGGGTAAGCTGGACATGTACAGTTTTAATGCATGCATTTTCTTTATTCCTATTCCTTCATCCTAAACTTGTAGCTGAGATTTCTAAAATCACTTTTGTCAAAAACTCCATAAATAATATGTCTGCTAGGAAGCTAAAAAATATGGAAAGAGACTTATGCACTCACTATAAGAAATATCTAAAGCTGGGAGGCACAACAAGGGACTAGATCTTCCCGGATTTCTCTAGGTTTTTCAGAACACCTACTTAACCAAACACATTGCATAAAGCAGTCACACCACTCTGGATATTTGTTGTTTGGAGTGAAATAGCCTCCAAAGCTAAACATGAAGAAGTAAGCTCTATTTTTAGAGGTCAAAACTGTTCCATAAAACTCTTCCTTCCCAAGTCTCTTTATGGGCAGTAGTGAGGCTATGAGGTGGTAGATAGGGTATTTTGTAAGACTTCTCTCCAAAAGAGTTCTGCATGTGTTTGAAAGTAATGCCTTAATATGTCCCTTGAGTTGGGATTGAGACCTCCCAAAGGATGCTCAGGTCTTCTTGGTGAACTGTCTTCTAAGTGGAGAGGACCCAGTTGAAGAGTGCCTGTTTATGGTTTGGACTGTATGTGTGTGTCATACAAGACCGTTGGCCAAGTTGGATAACTGAGCACAGCAGAGGGAGGGAGGACATATGTGGTTTTCCAAGGAAGAAAGCTTACGAAGGCCAAGGAAGAGAGGGAAAGTGGGAGAACAGATGTAACTGGAAAGAATTTCTGAGGCAGATGTGCCAACTAGTCCCTTACAGTTCATTTTGGTTTGAAGCAAAAGCAGCAGCTCACCTGGGAGCTTCTTAGATTCATGGAATCTCAGGCCCCACCCAGACCTACTGAATCAGTGTGCATTTTTGACAAAATCCCAGGGGGTTCATCCTGTGCACCTCAAAGTTTACAAATTACTGCTACAAGTCTTTTCTTCCAACTTTTAGCTAGGATCGTTCAGGTACAAGGATAAAAATCCAACTCAAACTAGTCTGAGCATAAAGGGAATGGTATTTTTTCATTTCATATAACCAAACCACAGAAAAGGCAGGGTGCTGCTGACTCTATGCAGGGCCTACATGCTATCAGATCTCAGATTTTTTAAAAAATCTGTGTATGTTTGTGTATGTGTTACTAAAAGGGAAGGGAAAGGAGTTTTAAGAAAGTAAAACAATAACCACTACCTCTACCTCTTTCCAATACTTCAGTGACAGCTACTAACCTTCAACTCAGGGGCTGAATGTAGCATAGGGCTCAGACAGTTGCAGTCTGCTCAAATGAGAGAACAGTTGCTCTCTGGGTAATAATAGTAGTAATAATTATTAAATAACAATAATAGGCACTATTTGTTAGGAGATTTTAAAATATATGATCATATATATATATATATATATATATATATATATATGGAAAAAAACATGCCTAAAGTCCTTTCAGACCACTGAACCCTAGAACATCCCTTTGGTCTAACTGGAATGCTTCAGTTGCTCAAAAACATTTATTGAGTACCAACTAATTGTCAGGCTCTGTGCTAAGGGCTTTATTTACAGAGATTAATAATATGTGTCTTACCCTTAAGGAACTGTCAAACAGGTTGTGTGTGGTAATGATTCAAACACCCATTAAGTTCATTGGACTGTGTGTTGTATAATGTTTCCTATTAAAAAATATTCAGGCAAGAAATGGCGGCACAGGCCTGTCATCTCAGTGACACAAGAGACTGAGGCAAGAGGATCACAAGTATAGCCTTGGCCACTTAGTGGGACCTTGTCTCAAAATAAAAGTTAAAAAGGGCTGGGATGTAGCTTAGTGGTAAAGTTCCCCTGAGTTCAATCCTTAGGACCCCACTTCCAAATACTCAGCAGTATTATACTCAAGTTTAAAGACTGAATAAAATATCATGTTTAGCAAGTGCACCAGAGTAAATGTTATATGTTTAAAACAGCTCAATATTTATGCATATTTATTTGGGGGAACTCATTTTTCACTCTAAAGTCTTACTAAGTGGGAGAGTAGGAAAAGACATGTTATCATGACTTTCATATGCTATCATTTCACACAAGGGAAATTCAAACTAGTGCATTTACTTACAAACAATTTACTTATAAAAATGACTGCCAAAGACATGAAAAGGACATAAGTTGAAATCACTTTTGTCCAGAGGCATAATGGCCAGAAAAAATGACAATCTACAAATAGAGAATATATATGATATAATGTATTGCACAAAATAGGACCCATGTTAAGCCGTCACAGGACTATTTAAACTTATGGGTTCGTAGGCATATATATCCTTTGATCACAGACCCAAACCACACATCTACTCTATAATTGGAAGCTAATGTTACTTGGCTTTTAAATCAGGAAGAATAAGCAATAGTTTAAAGTTTATATTTCCCAAAATTATATACATAAAATAGTATTTATAAGTTAACAGAATTTTAATGCCAGACCTTAACTTCATAAAACCAGATTCCAAAATATTATTGCAAGGATAATAAAAATGACTTGGTATCTTGATTTTCTTTCCAACAGATATGCGCACACAAATAGGTAATGCTGAGAAACTGTTTCTTGAGAAACTCAGTGAAAAGGAATATTGGGAAGAGTACAAGAATGTAGGGAGTGAACAACATGCTAAACTCATTACATCCTTGCAAAATGACATCAATACAGTTAAAGAGAATGCAGAGAAAACGTCAGGTCAGTTCCAACAAAGCTAGATCAAATTCATTAAAAGACCTTTAGGGGATATATATTTGGTGGAAGAAAAAAAAATGGGTACTTCTACATGAATCTCTGCTATGAGCACAACCTGCATCAAGGGAATGCAAGTGAAATATCTCATGGAATGGGGAAGGTGGTCCTCTGAGGCATCCATAAAAACATTCCCATGAAAGAGGGCGTCAGCCTCTATCCAGCTAGGACCAGGAAATGAACATGAGTTTTGAGAAGGTATCAGTCAAGTGAGACCTCTCTTTCCCTTCACCATGCTCCCCTCTTTGCTTCAGCCCTGAAATAGGAGGCTTGGGAGCTCAAGGCAGAGGAAACACAGCAGTCCCAAGCAAGGAAAGAGGAATAGCCATCATTTTGAATGAACCTGAATGTTTTTTTTACTACAGTACACTGGACATATTAAGTTCTTATTAGAGGACCTTTTATTACCACAAAGGAACAAAAATTTCATAGAAATTGCCATATATTTTATCAAGAGGAAGTCACTAGCCTCATACAATGAATTTTAAAGGAAGAAAGGAAATAAAATTGCTTGACTTCCCATGGGTCATGCTTGTTGAATGTGACACTTTCATTGAGGAATGGGAGGACATTCCTTCCATTGATTGAATATAGAATCAGAAGGCCATTGGTTCAGTGGTGGCTTAACAGATGGTTCCTCCTTATCTTTGAAGATTTGTGATTTATCCTCTTGAGGCACTCCTGATTTGCTCTGTGGGCTTGTCCATATTCTCTTCTTGTTTCCCATGGACTAATTCTTGCAGTGTTCTCCAGCCCAGCTTCTGAAGAGAAGCCAGGTGTCTTTATTTACCTAACTAAAAAACAATCAAAGACCTTTGTCCATGACTCCTCATGGATTGCTAGTCAGCCCCAAAATAAACTCTTTGGTCAACTGTCCCAACTTGCTTTATTTAGTAGCCATCAATGATCCCTGACAGGGGTAGGGGTGGGAAAAAGTATTCAGGACTACTTTTATGAGATTTAGCCAGAAGTAGGAGTTGGGAGATTGGGTATAGAAAACAGGCACTGGTATATCCTGTGATATATAGGTCAAAACTAGTTTTTTCCCCAAAAGAAAAAAGAAACTTAGCCCTGATAAGTAATTACAGTCACAGAGTATTTTGTACTTTACTAGGGGCACAGGACAGGGATCCTTAAAACTTTTTTGTATACTAAGAGTGAGTTAAAAGACTTGGGTTCAATACGCAAGACCCTGGGTTCAATCCCCAGCACCACAAAAAAACAAAACAAACAAAAAGACTTGGGTTCAAGTTCATTTATAAATAAATAAATATTATATCCTTGAGTCTTAAAATTTCCTTCTCTATAAAATGAGAGTCCCCAGGTGTTCTCCAAGATGATTCACCGTTCCAATTTTGCTTTTCCATGTAATCCTTTTAAGTTCCTTACAGATTAATTGGGCCCACTTTAAAGATGTGAAAAAAGAGGCTGAGAGAAGTTAATTGACTTAACCAAATTCACATACTTAGTAAGTAGTGGAAAAGGATCTTTGAACCTAGGTGCATCAGACACTAAACTCACATCCTTCAAATAGGCCTCCTAGCTCTGTGATCCAGTGAGGCAGGGATGGCTCTCTAATACCAACTGTGCCTGCAGAGTTGACTGCTTCTGCTCAGTTTCTCCAGAGGAAACTGAAAGGAGGCCCCACCCAGGAGAGGATCAGCTCAATGAAGTTGTGTCATGCCCAGAAGTGAGTGACAGAGCACAAAACTCTCAGCAGGCATGGAGGAGTAAACCAAAGCAGAGCCAAATACCACAGGGAAGTCAGAACAATGCAGAACAAGCTTTAACCAGTGTGATTTGTGGGCTTGTCCCTATTTTCTTCTTGCTTCCCATGGACTAAGGTCCAGGTTTTATGGTTTCTTTCAGATGTTAAGATTGTAAAATCCATTACAGCTAAACTCCTGTTCCATTGCAACTTTTAGGTTGATTGTTGTTTTGTTAGACCTAAGTTTCAAACTCAGCCTCTGAATAGTAGCCACATTAGACTGAGCATCTGAGCAGCCAGGAGTCTCACAGCACAAAGTCATAATCTTCCAAGCTCCCAGTTGCAGTGTCGCGAACTTTTATGAAAAGGAGACTTCTGTATATCCTTACTCTCTTTGGCTATCTTCACAAATGAGTGGTTAGTAACTGTCTCTCAGCTACAGAAAGCATCATCCAAATCACAAAAGATAATAGATTTTCACAATTTGTGCTGGTTATATTGTTTTTAAGAAGAAAAACAGTCCATAGAATGTTAACTGGGGTTTGGAACAGTTATCAATGTTAATACTGTTTCTTCAGTATTAATGTGGCAATAGAGCTATAGCTCTGGGTAGTCTATTTTTTATAATTTACAGCAAAAAGTTCATTTTTTTCAATTTTTTTTTAGTTGTAGTTGGACACAATACCTTTATTTTATTTATTTTTATGTGGTGCTGAGGATCGAACCCAGCACATTGCACAACCCCACTGAGCCACAACCCTAGCCCCAAAATAGTTCATATTTAATGTTATAAAGGTCCAGGTTTTATGGTTTGTTTCAGATGTTAAGATTTTAAAATCCATTACAGCTAAACTCCTGTTCCATTGCAACTTTTAGGTTGATTGTTGTTTTGTTGGACCTACGATTCAAATAAATAAATAAATAATATTAACCTGATGAGCTTGGGCTTAAATTAAAAAAAAGAAATTCCAGGGCTGGGGTGGTGGCTTAGTTGTGGAACTCTTGCCTCACACATATGAGGCCCTGGGTTCAATCCTTAGCACCACATAAAATAAATAAATAAATAAACAAACAAACAATAAATGTATTGTGTCTATCTACAACCAAAAAAGTTATTAAAAAAAGAAATTCCATTGGAAATGAAGTTGAAAGGAATAAATAATCAAGCAATTACTTCAAATTAGAGTAAGAAAAAATGCAGGTAGATGAGCATGTGTAGGAAAAATAAAGATGTCTATTTCTTATTTTCCAGATGACAAGTTAGATTAGTTCTCCAAATCTCATGAACTCTCTTGTTTTGAACCATGCCTCAGTCAGACACTCTATCCAACTCTTGAGGCCCTCTCTGGACCCATTTTTCTGGCCACTCTACAATTTGGGCAAGCTCTCTTCTCTCTTTGCTTCCCCTTCCTCTCCACCAGTTGCCCCTGAGGAGCATCATTTGCTACCCTGGTGCTGAAATCATAGATCACTGCCCATCCAAGATTTGCAGTTAGCCAAATTTAATTTTCTTCAAAATGTTTTTTAATATCTATTGTGTCCAGGAATTCAGTAATAGAAAGAGATGAAAATTTTTACTTCCTGCTAATAGGGGGAACTGAGTAATTTTTGCCTAGCTCCCTAGTTTCCTAGAAGCCACCTTAATTTAGTTCCTGGTCTGTTTGAAGACTGGACCTCCAGATCTGCTTCCCTATGGCATAAGATCCCAAGCATTCAGCTTTGACAGCCTTGATCTGTGAAGAAAAATTTGAATTGAAACAATATCCTAAATGGCAGTTACGTTCTACAGCACTCTTGGTACAATATTTATGTTTAGTTATAGAATAAGTTAAATAGGCCTCTGTGGGCCTTTCCAGAAATCTAGCAAACACAGTTTTCAGCATTATTTATATGGAAAATACATCTAAGTAATTATCTTGGATATGTTATAAATGAAGATAGGGGACATATAACTTTGATGTTATAAAAAACACAATTTTGATTACTGTTATGTTAACTCATCTGGAGTAGTACAGTTCCCTTGTATTTCACATTGCTGACTGTATCACTTTATTGAAGAATCTGCTCAGATGTTAACTCCTCAAGAAAGCTTTCTCTGATCATTCTACCTGAAAGAGATTTTTAGTTTCTCTTCATCACACACATCACCACCTAAAATAATATTTGTTTTTTTTTATTTTATGGTGTGCCTTTCCTATGAGAATGTACATGCCATAAGGACAGGGGTTTTGTCTGTAGTAATCAGCAATATTCCCAATGCCTTCAATAGTGTCTGGCATATAGAAGAACTTGATAATTGTTGAAAAAAGCAAACAAATTGAACTCCTTTTATCCAGCATTATTCCTCTCCACACTCTAAAAGCAGTCTTAATATCATGGTACCTTAATTTTCTTTAAAAATATTGTTTGTTTGTTTGTTTTTAAATTAAAGGATCTCTAAGCATCTGTTAAGGTCTAAACTTCAATGATTCTTTGTTTTCTCAATAATGACATTAAGGACCATAAGAAAATACATAGATAGAGAATCCTGCACTTGTCTCTGTCCTTTCTTCTGGTAAGCCCAACATAGAATCAGGTCTATTGCCTCTCATGCCCCTTCTGCTCAGAATGCTTCTCATTCTGTTTTTCCCTGCCCCAGGAAATGCATGCCAGGAATATTGAAAATTTAGTTAGGTAGAATTTTTGGTAAAAATGTACTAAGAAGCCAGGTGCTGTGATGCATGCCTATAATCAATCCCGCTATTTGGGAAACTGAGATGAAAGATCAACCACAGCAAGACCCTGCCTCAAAAAATATTTTTCTCTGAGAATTTAGGAGAAAAAAATGTGTAGAAAGGAGAGATGTGGATTATGGAAGGTGACATTTACTAACATATAGATTTACCCAGGAGCAGTCTTGTTAAGGCTTATAATTTTCTGTTTAAAGAACAGTATAAAATTACTCTGGAAGATACTAGAAAGAAAATAATCAGAGAAACTTTGGTGCTACTGGACCAAAAGAAGGAATGGGCTGCGCAGGTATGTTTCAATTTTCTTAAAACAAAACTTTCCCCTTAATTTTTCTTATATTATAGTGGTTAATAACTTGCATTCTAAAGTTAGGCAGTTTGAGTTTAAATAACAATTCTACCACTTACTGGATTTATAACCAAGTTTATTAATTTTTATGGGCTTCTGTTTCCTAATTAATAAAATAGGGAAAATAATAATATTTATCTCAAAGAGATAATGTGAGGAATGAATGAAATGATTTAAGTACCCTAATGTCTCACAAGAAGCAAATAAATTACTTTTTTGGCTATTTTTAAAGTATAATAATAATAATAATGACTACAACAAAACATTAAAATAAATCCTTTGGATGAAGAATAGAATGAAATATTATTTGTCTGAAAGGTAGTTATTACATATCCAAACCTAGGAGAATACACTCTATACTGCTGGCACTTTAAGTTTGGGATATAAAACATTTTCTGAGACATAATTTCCAATCATGTATGTTCTTTGTTTACACTAAATATCTAAGTTTTTATTTTTCCATAGTCCTTCTACAAACTATCTCCTAAATCAGTAAAGGAGTGTCCAGCACAGATCTTGGACATCCTTTCTTCAGAATCACAAACATTTGGTCTTTTTAATTTCAGTTGCTATTGTTTGTTGCATCTTCATTGGTTCAGTTGTTTCTGCCATGGTACTCTCTCTATTGCATGACTTTTACTAATTTATACAAATATAGAAGATTATGGAGAACCGATCAAGAGTTTGTCTGCCCATGCAATTGGGTCACTTTGTGACTGAATCTGAGTAAATAGTGAAATTGACCATTAAGTTATCCGACTATAGTTAAGATGATTGAAAATACATATGTAGATCAAACAAGCATACAGCTTCAAGCATGTATCATGAGAACTGTTCTAAATACTTCTCTAAGCATTTTACATTTAAGTCTCTCAGCAACCCTACAAGGCCTAGGAAGCTGATGAGGAGGAGATTGAGGCACAGAGAAATAAAAATAACATGACTTGCCCAGAACAAGTAGGAAAACTCACAATCAATTCAGGAGATTTCTTTCAGATAGATCATTGGTGATCACACTATACATTTTCTCTTTTCTACATACAGCTAAATACTCAACATGGTTGAATTACATTTTCATTTTAACTGGCTATGTTACCATACAGTTCACCTTTCTGTACAGGACTTTGCAAACTTAGCTACACATTGATGTGTCACATGAGGAACTTTTTTAACCTAACCTGGTACCCGGGTCCCACTCACAGAGATGCTAATGTTATTGACCTGGGATATTACCAGAGTTCACAGATTTTTCAAAATGTACAGCATTTGAAATATAATTATAATATATTGCCAAAGTGGAAACCACTGCCTCATTGTTAGTGAATTAACTTGTTAGTCATCTGACCTCAAGAGCTACTTCCTGCTTTTGTTCAAATGAAATTTTACATTGGAGGAAATTAGAATCATAATAGGAATATAAAAGTTCCTGGTTCCTAGGGCATATTTAATAAGCATGATTTAATGATTTTTTAATTGAAAATATTTCATCTCTAAAGACAGCAGAAAAACTTACCCTTCACATACCTTTAAACTATTTTTATCCATATTTATGATCTAGACTATCTTTCTCTTTTCTTTTTTGTAGAATATTTTTCTTAATTTCTCATCTTATCCCAGTGAGAGTTGGGAGGTTGAAATAGGAGAATCATAAGCGTGGGGCCAGCCTAAGCAACTTAGTGAGACTATCTCAAAGAAAACGTGGTGAGGACGGGAACTGGCGATGTGGCTCAGTGGCAGAGCACCTCTGGGTTCAATCCCCAGTACAAAAAAAAAAAAAAAAAAACTCTTCTTTTGATTCTGCCCTTCAGTTACTGAATATTGAATTTATATCATGATCTTCATTTAAAATCATCTTACAAAGAAATACAGTGTCATCCATTATAAAATTTTTGCAGGTGAAATTTAAAATCCAAGTATTTGAAAAAAAATTGCATTTTATGAATGTACTGATGAAGTAAGACTTTTCCTGTTTCTTTACACAAAATCTTTCTCAGGAGACAAGCTAATAGCCAGTATCCCTAAAACTAAGTGTTATTAGGTTTATAAATGTGTATATTGTTACTACTCATGTAGAAATTGTTCTAATTTAAAATATAGAAGTGTCATTTACTTATGCTTTTGCTATATATTGGATTATATCTGACTATGGAGTGTTTGATCACTGCAAGTTAGCTATCTCAAATGTGGAGCATGAATGACAGCCACACACTGTTCATTTCTCCAAATCACCTGTAGCAGACAATGTAAATCAACAAAAACAAAAATACAATAGGATAAGAACAAATGAATGAACCAAAAGTTCTCACATGTTCCTAAAAATCCTTACAAAATATAATTTAAAATGAATGATCAGTTAGACTGACTGTGTGACATCGTTGGGTAAAACTCTGAATCATCACATGGCAACTCTTGGTTAACATAAACTTTCTTTTAGAATGCTGTAAAGTTAATTGATAAAAACAGTTATCGAGAGATCTGGGAGAATGATTGGCTGAAAAAAGAGGTGAGTAGAATACATCAAAACAGTTTTTTCTTTCTTTCCTTTATTTATTTATTTATTTATTTATTTTTCTTGGACTGGAGATGACATTTAATTGTAAAATGAAGTCATGGGAAAAGCATGGAATTTGAGATCAAGTGAAATTCTAATCTTTTTAGTAAGTTGCTATTCAACAAATACCATAGTCTCAGTAATAACCAGAAGTAATTTGGGGGCTACAATTCACACAGTATACTCAAATCTGTATAGTTTCTTCATGTCTCCTCCTGGGTGCATTCTGACTTCTGATTTAAATCACCTTTTTTGGATGATGTGGTTTCCTTTAGACAAGTGTTCAGTTTTTTAGATTTTCTTTATTCCCTCTGATCTTCTCCAAGAAGATCCCTGGATGTATGGGAAAGAAGGCCATACATGACCTTTTGTGGGTACACTGCTGAAAAAAATTTAGATCTGTGGGATTTCCTTTGGATCCTTGCTCTCCCTGCCTGCCTGCTGGGAAGGAACTGCTCTGGTCCTCTGTCTGCACTGGTGACTTCTGAAGTGGACTGGGCTGGCACAAAACCTATAGCTCAGCCTTTTTTTTTGTTCAAGATGATCCTGTAGAATGCAGCATCTATACCTCACTCAACCTGATCTTTAGGCCTTTTCACATTTCTTAAGAACATATAGAAATTACTGAAACCAGGTGTGCTGCCTTAGACTCAGTTGTCCACCTGTCTCCCTATATCAGTGCTACAAGCAGGAGTGCTCTTTCTGGATGTGGTCATGTGATGATTTCTAGAGCAGAATCTCTCAATCTCCACACTGTTGACATTTCGAGATGGATAATTCTGTGTTTTGAGGTACTGTCCTGTTTTCCTTACATTGTGCATGCTGGTCCCTCTGCCCTTATCTCTATTACCTCCTTACTTTCATCTACCTAGAAAACACTAACTCTTCCTGTAGGGACAGGCATTTTTTTTTTTAAGTTGTAGTTGGACATCTTTATTTATTTATTTTTATGTGGTGCTGAGGATCGAACCCAGGGCCTCACACATGCTAGGTGAGCACTCTACTACTAAGCCACAACCCCAGCCCATAGGGACAGACTTTGATGACCAATTTCCTTGTGAATTATTTTTAACTCCCTCAGGAAGTCTTGAGTGATCCTCCCCCAATGTTCTTTGGTTTTATTGAATTCTTGTTAAATATGTTGAAATTGTCTGTTTACCCATTTGTGTCCTTAATAAATAGAGCCGGCTGTTTTTTCAATTATCTATCTATGGCACCTGATAAATAATCTGTGCTTATTAGCTATTGAATGAAGAATGTTAATGAATATAGACACATTATTGAAGGATGAATTACATATATGGCTGAGATCCTGGATGAAGGAAAAGTTATGTGAAAACCTTTGTAAATTGTTTATGTTGTGGTTTAAGATGATATGGGCTAGAGTTGTAGCTCAGTGGTAAGAGCACTTGCCTGGCATGTGTGAAGCACTGGGTTCAATCCTCAGCATGGCATTAAAAAATAATAATAAATGAATAAAATAAAAAGGTATTGTGTCCATCTACAATTTTAAAAAAGGTGATATACTACATCCTGTCTTTCCTGAGGGTCCAGGAAATGAAACGATAGAAATACAAAAAAGATCCTTTCGAAAGTGATGTTCCAACAATGGTCTGGAAGACAAAAAGCAGATATGAAAGCATGTTGAATAAAACTGGCAGATAATATTTGGTCCAGATGTTACAAGAGTGCTACAGAGAATGTGCAAAACTCAGTCAGCTTCTGGAAACCTGAGGGATTCTCTGCTTGGAGTCTGTGTGTACTATGAATGGTAGGGATGGGAACTGAAGCAGAAAACAAGAGTTACACGATGATCTGCATCAGCAAGCATCCACCAGGACCTGCTACTGAAGGCTCTCCTCTGAGAACACTGAGAATTATCTGAAAACAGCTAAGGTTTCTAATGTAGACATTAGACATTTCTATGCAAAAAATTCTTCCTATCATGGTATTTAAGAGTCTGCAATCTAGCTTTCCAGGAATTGCCACTGAGATGCAGATTTTCATAAAAACCCTTATGGGGAAGACCATCATGCTTGAGGTTGAACCACTGGATACTATAGAAAATGTAAAAGCCAAGATCTAAGATAAGGAAGGAATTCCTCCCAATCAGCAAAAACTAATCTTTTCTGGTAAGCAAATGGAAGATGGGTGTATTTATCTGACTACAACATTCAGAAGGAGTCTACCCTCCATCTTGGGCTAAGGCTTTGTGGTGGTGCTAAGAAAAAGAATAATAAACATAAGAGAAGAAAGGTTCAGCTGGCTGTCCTGAAATACTGAAAGGTGGATGAAAATGGCAAAATAAGTCACCTTCACCAGGGGTGAAGGTGGTGCTGGGTTCTTATGGCCAGCTACTTTGACAGACTTTATTATGGCAGGTACTGTCTGACTTACTGCTTCAACAACCCAGAAGGCAAATAACGTGTATAAGTTAATAAAAGACATGAACGAATAAAAAAAAAAAGTTCACAATCTAATATCCTATTCTTGCCTTTCATCCCAGAATAAAGTTTATCAGTCCACCTACCCTGATGTTCCATAAACTAAGTCCTGAGTCCATGCTCCCATTCAGAGGAAAAATCTGTTATGAAAACAGACTTCAAAACACAGTGATAGAGAACATCCACTTCATTCCCCCAAACCTTTCTTAAATATGAATAAACAACCAAGGACCTTTAAGCATATGAATACAACCAACACAACAGACGAGAAGAACCAAATGAACTAACATTAACAAAGTAGAACACAATAAAAACTGTCCCTGAGAAAGGTAGAAAAAAATTCAAGGAATAAAAAGATCTTTTTTTACTCTTAAAAAAAATCTGATAATGTATTTTATTTAGAAAATGAGATACTTTAAGACAAAAATAATCAAATATAAAGTAGGAAACAGAACAATCTTTCATAACAGGAAAGACAAACCAGGTGCAATGGTGCATACCTGTAGTCCCAGCAACTGGGAGGCTGAGATAGGAAGATTGCAAGTTCAAGAGCAGCCTCAGCAACTTATAGAGGTCCTAAGCAACTTAGCACAACCCTGTCTCAAAAAATGAAAGGGGACTGAGAATGTTGCTCAGTAGTTAATGCCCCTGGGTTCAATTCCCAATAGCAAAAAAAAAAGAAAAAGAAAAACGGTGGTGGATAAGACATAGAGTACTAATGTAAGATGTACAATATCCAAGGACCGATTCCAGAAATAAAAAAGTAAAGGAAAGAAAATTGTGAATGAAATAATAGAAATTTTCTGGGTGCTGAAAAGGACAAGAGTTTTCAGAACATCGAGAACAAAAGGAAAATCCTAAAGGTTTCTGGCAGAAGGTTGAAGGGGTGAAGAGGAAATTAACTGCAAAGGAATAAGAACCAAATGGCATTTGATTTTTCAGTGGCAAAGTGCAGATGGAAAATTATTTTCAAATTGGTATTCTATACTCAGCTAAGCTAGATAAGGGCAAAATAAAGCTGTTTTCAGAAATGCAAGAGCTCAAAATATTTATTTCTCAATCTTCCTCAGGAATTTACTTAAACAATGTACTTCGGCAAAACTAGACTGTAAGCTAAGCAAGAGAAAAACAGGAAACAATGTAATTCCCAGTACACCACAGAAGAAATGTTTGAGATAATTGTTCTGCAGGCCTAAAAAGCATCCAGATTGAAACTGTTCTCACTTCTAGGCCCCAAAATCACATTAGCCACAACCAGCTGTGCAACTCCACCTAAATGCATCACAGACATCTCCAATCTCTAAATTGAATTCATCTTCCCCCTTGCCACAAACACCCTCTTCATACTATCTGTCCTTGTTGAGGATCCCACCATTATCCAGTTACCCAAGCCAGAAACTTGGGAGTGCCTTAGAAATGTCCTCTTCTCTTCCCATATGCAGAATGCCTCTTCATTCCAGCAGGTCAGGTTTGTGACCACCTCGCCTTTCCTTTTTTTCCATTGCCCTAGTACAGATCCATTATCTTTTACACAGATCTTTCAATTGCATCTTACCTGATTTTCTTCCCTCTGGACTAGACACTTCCCCTTTCTTCTTCACACTACCCTAGAGATACCTTTCTAAAACATAAACCTGATTGTGTCAGTCTTCTGCTTAAAAACACTCCATTACAGGTTCTCTAGTCAGTTCAGAGGTGCCAGGAAGCATGTTCTCCAGAAATCAGTCAGGCCCTGCTTTGCATATAGTCAGGTTAGATTCTACCTTGTGGGTAACAGATTCACTGAACTCTTGAACAGCCTGAGTGTTTCTGGATTCTGGAGATGGTGGTAACTTGGGCTTCATTAGCCCTTCTGTTCCCTGAAATTTCCTTTACATACAAGGTAACCACCAAGCCTGTGTTTAATTGTCTATAAAACCAAAATCAGTACTTTTTGAGAAAATTCACTTCAAACTACACACAGGTTTTAGTGAGCTAATCTTTCGTGATTCTTGAATGTATATCTTCAGCACTAACTTATGTGTACTCTCAGCTCTGAACCCACATGTGTATTTGTCTGCCAAATATTCCCAGGTAGATATTCCAAAGGCCTTTCAAATTCAACATACCCATGGCAGGACTTACTAAATTCATCCTTAAATTTTCTTTTTCTATGTTTCCTTTTCTACCATCTGTCAGCTTCTCCTCTTTCCTTTTCCTTATCCTCTATTTCACCAGGTAGTTAGTGAATCTAGGAAACAAGGAATTAAAACAATTTATATGCTTTCTATAGTACTTACACCTATCTTTAAAATTCCTTTATAAAGTCATGGTGAGTCAGGTGTGCGGGCACATGCCTAATCCTAGCTACTCAGAAAGCCGAGGCAGGAGATTGGTTTAGATTGAACCAAGTTCAAGAACATCCTGGGGAACTTAGCAAGATCATGTTTCAAAATAAAAAATAAAAAGGACTAGGGATGTAATCCAGTAGTTCAATCCCTAGTAACCAAGTAAATAAGTAAATAAAACAAAGATAAAATTGTGGTGTATAGAAATTCATACTATCCCCAAAAACTCATCAGGATAACTCTCCAGTTTAAAGCAAGGTATCAATAATTTAAAAATAAATCAAGGTGGGCTTAATAATTAAAGAATATATTAGGGATAAATTTAGTTCTTACAATTTTTTAAAATATAACAGCATGATCCTATAATAATAATTATGCAACTCATAAGATGTTATAGATTTTAGGCTTAGGGAAAATTACTACAAAATTTATATTTGATAAGAAAGGATTGGTGCCTTGGCTCTTTCTGCTAAAGTCACAAATTTTGTTTTACTTTTTAAATATTTTTTCCTTTTCAAAATTCAATGGAAATAAAAGAGAAAAATATCAAGTTTAATTGAATCACCAACAAAAAGAGGTTGGTAATAAAGGACAAATCATTATAAGACAATTCAATAGATTTAATTTCTCATTAGTTCAATAATTACTCATTTTAGTATTATTAAATTTATTCAAAAGATTAATGAAAACTATTTCCAGTTATAAATATTATCATAAGAATTAAAAATTGGAAACAGAACAAAATGTATGTAAATTTCTTTGAGGAAAGTTTAGAATGAGTAACAAAGGATATTTAATAATGGAACTTCTGGAAACATTTTTCCAGTTAACTATTTTTCCAACAATAACCAAAACCTTAGATCTCTGAGAAGGATACAGAGATGCTCTATTGCACGATTTTCATTATCTTCCTTTATTTAACATACTTAAGAGGAAAATGAGAATTGGAATTTTCTAACAACTTGGACTAATTTAACAAATGAAAAGCCAGAGAAACGAGACAGAGGAATTCTAGGAAGTTAGCAATCAGAATGTCAAGTATGAAGAGACATCAGCTTAAGTAGATCTTCTAGGTCCCTGACTTATATAATAATTTTAACTAAATTATCTTTCTTGATTTCTAATTTCTATTTACATTTCTTAGGTATTTGGGGACAAGTAGTATTTCACTTTTTCCTCCTTTTTACTGTCTTATCCCAGAAATCTAAAGGTACTTATATGACTGTGAAGAGGAACCAGTTTAAATTTTCCTAATATTTTAAAAGGCAGAGAGGGAGACAGCAATTGATGAGAACATTACTGAGAACTTTAAAGGGGAAGATGATATTGTGGATATCTTTAGCCTGAAAAGCTGGATGTAACTCTCCAAAAAGGATCTCATTCCCAACTTTGGAAAGAGACCAAGAACTATGTGTGTTACCTCCCAAACATGCCAAGCCCTTAGGTCAAACATTTCCAAATGTTCTAGTATTTTTCTCTGCTTACAACCTCTAACTCTAATTTGTTTCTTATTCTTTGACATTTGAAAATCATAAACTTCTCCTTAATGCATTCAAGCTTATAATCAAGTTAATTATTTCTCAACATATGAGATCCTTGAATACCAACCTCTGGCTTTGTAATTTTGTATTATGAATTTAAATGATTTTGCTAAATTGTTTTATGCAGGAAATAACATATGCTTTTCTTTTTAACTCAAAGCCACCAACAGTGTTTGATCCTTTTCTGTGACACTGGTATTACTTTATAACTATTTGTGATTTTGTTTATGGGATTATAAACTGTCTTGAGGGAAGGAGACATGACTTACTCACCTTTGTATCTTTCTACTTATAGCTCAGAATCTTGTCTACACAAGATTTTATATATTTAATAAATGACTTGAGTGATAGAACTATGCATGTGGAAATATATCAAATGCTTCAAGATTTTAAAATACAATTAGATGCCAGTGACAAAGCAGAATGTGTTAGTTATTTTCTTCCATGTACTCATCTGAGTTCTATTCTCTGCAACTTTTGACAAGAAATAGTGAATCTAAATTCTGCACCTTCATTGTTTCGACTCATTCCCTCAAACTTGCATTACTGTCTCCTATTTGTCCTCCTACTATCCTCATCAGCCTACCACTTTCTATTGTATACTCTTAGTTCTAATTCTTCTATCTTTCTGATCCTTCCCCATGAAGACTTATATTGCTATAGGTCTTCTTCTATATTGCTCAAACTGCTTTCAGTGGCAGAGATGTGAGTTGGGGGTTCTATCTAATAACACTCCTTGATATATTCTTACCATTATCAAGCCTTCTTTAGTCAAAATTTACCAAAATATACTTCTTAAGGACTGATGAAAACTCAATCAACAGAACTGCCAACTTTTATTCATATTTTATTTCTTCAGTTAACATTAACTAAGCTTGGTGTGTCTAGCATTACCTGCCATCACCTAGAGGATAAAACCCAGGCTCAATAGCTTTATTTGACCCTGATTGTCCACTTCCTCTCCTGCTTCTCTCTGCTGCCACTTTGCATGTATCCACATCAAAATAACTGTGTCTTTGCATATGTTGTTCCTTCTACCTAGAAAGCAACTTCTTGCATCTGCCTGAGGGATCTCTACTCGGCTTTCAAGATCGGGATTAGATATTATCTCTTCTATGAATTCTCCCTATCTGGACACCTGGCAGAAATAGTGTTCATCTCTCTCTCCTCCCACAGCAGCAGGACAGCTTCCATTATGGTTTTATCACATTGATTTCTATTTTTATCTCCATTTTCTCACTAGGCTAAGAGATCCTAAGAAAGCTATTGTTATCTTGTTGTTCATTTGTTTCCAAAGCATAATATTGTTTTTGGCACATAGTAGGCATATAAAAAATTGAATGAATGAATTAACAAATAGTATTTCATCTACCTGCCATTTTCCAGAACTACCCCAGCACTTAGAACATAATTGTTTTATGGGGTCTAATAGAAAGGTCTGTGCTTCTTCATCTTTTTTTTTTTAATACTATAATATAGCATTTCCCTCCAGTGTTTTCATTGTATTGTTTATAATTACCCTTAGATAGATTTTCATCTAGTCTTCTTTTCTTATTAATCTCTGCCTCTAGCTCTTATATAAATTCAGCAGTATTTCTAAAGGAAGAAAAGAACAAATTCTGCTTCCTGTAAGAGCTACCTAACAATGAAACAGTTTCTGATAATGATCTAGAAAAGAGTCCTACCTATTCCTTCTTACAGAGGAAGGATAAAGCAAACCCAGCAATAAATAATACCTGATAGAGCTACTCCTTGGGCACATGCACTTTCAGGAATTAAATTTGCTATAGAAGTCCTTATAGATCTAAATCAATAAGTACCAATACCCATTCTCTTCTTCTGACAACAGATTGCAATTCACAGGAAGGAAGTTGAAGAATTAGAAAATATTATTCAAGAACTGGAAGAAGAAAATTTGGTGCTTATTGATCAACTGTTCAACTGTAGACTTGTGGATCTTAAAATACCCAGGTGAAAGTCATTATCATATCTAGAAAGTAAACATTTGGTAAACATTTGTCATCTGTAAAAAAAGTTCTGTTTTTTTAAAAGATAATTTTAATTTTCAGTGCTTCAGTCAGATTGCAATAATCAAAAAGAGAAGAACTCACAAAATGGCCACAATGAGGGTATAGGATTATCACTATTGACCATTGATTGGTACAGTGTAAACTTTGACTTATTTTTTCTACCAATGCATTATAGTCACAATAACACAACCATGAATATCACAACTGTCAACCTTCAGAAGCCTACACAGCCACAAAAATGGTCAAGAATTAAAGGTAGAATTAAACAGAGCAGCAGAAAATGTATGAGGTGTAGGGTTAGCACAGAGAGGGGTGAGGGGAAAACCAACTTTCTCGAAGCTTTTTGGAAGTGTTCTGGCCTTCTGGTTATCTCAGAATTATTTCCTCTGACAAAATAGTCAAACTACTTTGGAAGTGAAGAAAACAGACTAGCATTCCAAGTCACATTTGTTCTTGTACCAGAGAAACCAAATATATATATATGTATGTATGTATGTATGTATGTATATAATATATATAGTTAGTGTTTTAAGTTAGCAATTTTTCTTACCTGACCAAAAAAAGAGACCCTAGAATATGAAATTAAAATCAAAAGTAAATTTTATTCTTTTATTATTTGGATAGTCAGAAACAAGAAGTAATCTGAATTGTAGCATTTTTAGGAAGAGAGGGAAAATCACATAAATGGGTGTACATGTGTGAGTATGGGAAATAAATATTTAGATCTAGGAATTTGACATTAAGCTGAATACAATAGGAAAGCCAAGAAAAAATTTTCTCCCAAGTATTTCCCAATGCTGTGTGACATGGAAAAAATACCATCTGATACATGATGAAATATTTGTTATTACAAACTTCCTATTGTGTTCCAAGAAAGGTAGATACAGGCAAGTTGCGGGTTCCTTATTTTCCGGGCTAAGCTATGGGTATATGGATATAAGATTAAAGAAATTGGGAGATAGTGTAATTCCTTTAAAGGCTGAAAGCTGTATAGGAGAAGATAGAGAAGAAGCCACCTGCCTCCCTTCCACAATTGTTTGCTGCTCCTGGAAGAGTAGATACCAATGTAGATGATGTAGATGGTGAGGCTGAATGAATTGATTAGTACTTCCAGTCTCTTGCACTGATGCCCTGGAGAGCCCCTAAGGGGTAAATAGTGCCTGTCTGCTCTCCAGTAGGCAATGCTTCTGTAATCAGGTCTCTTAGCTCAATATTCCTGTCCTTCCTTTAATCCTTTGCTGCTGCTGCTGCTTGCTGCCTTCTTTGTGATCAGGTCTAATCTCTGCCATCTATTGCAAGTGTGTGGCTTCTAACCACTGTTAGACCGGCCGTTGTCAACTTTCCTGTTTTCTGAATTGGCCAACCTTAGGAGGGAGCTACCTTCTAAATGGCCAGCTCCACTTTTCTGCTTCAGTAAACCTAGTTTAGTATATTTGATTTGGTGCTGACATTGATATGAAGTTAGTAATAATCATAACAGACAGAATTCTTTCATTGACCACAGAGGACTTGGCAAGGACAGAAAGGGATATGTTTTCTTTTCTTTTTTTTTTTTTTTTTTTTCAGTGCTGGAGCTCAAACCCAGGGCTTTCTTTGCACATGCTAGGCCAAGTGCTCTACCACTGACCTATGTTAAAAGTTCAGATGTGAAACATTTAATGTGGATTTTCATTAACTTTTTTTGCTGTGTAATGTACAATTTAACCCTATTCTCTGTCTTCTCCATGAAAATCTTTAGTATAATCCACATTGTTCACCAATGTATTAGGGATTTGTTTTCTTTAGTGAGAAACATGGAATTCTTGCTTCTAAGTCTTGCTTCTAAGTTGGAAAAGATGAAATCAATGAATTGATGAGCATATGCTGCTGCACCTCTCTGTGCTCTCCTTTTCAGAATGCCCCCTGAATTTCCAATAAGAAAATATGATTCCTTGAAAGCTCTATATGGCATTTCCATGAGATTTGCCTGAAAAGAGCATGAGGCAATGAGACCCTGGCAGATGTGCAAATCGCTTATGCTTACATCACAGCAACTAAAGTAAATCCCTTAAATTAGGGGCTTTCAATTAAAGAACATAAATAAAGTGTCATCCAGACACTTATGGCCCCAGCAAATACTGTTACATACAATGTGTACATATTTAAAACATAAAGACAATTTAGTAGATTGATTTCACATTTGGCTCCGACCTATAGGCAGATATGTCTGAGGCTATAGAATTGTTTCCTGACTTTACCATTTCAAATAATTAAGACCTTACTAAATATCATAACCTTTATAAATATAGCTTCTCTCTCTTAACAATTATTTTTATTGTCACTTCTGTACCACTATAGGGCAGCAACACTTGATAGTTCAATTCGCTGGGCTTGTAGCCAAAACATGTAACTCAGGGAAAGCCGGGATCTAGATGGCATCTTGGGTTCTAATGGTTCTCTTCATCTCAAATCCATCCCATTCAGGCCACTGTCATTCCATTCCTCACCTGAATTACAACAACAGCAACCTAACTGGTGTCATGTTTATTCTTTTTTCTGAAACTTTAAATATGCTATTTCCCTATCTTAGAATGCTCTTCCCTCACTCCCAGCTCTTCCCTGGTGAACTTCTGGTTCTTCAAGACTCAGCTGAGGTTTTATCTCCTCCAGGAAACCTTCCCTATCCCCTAAGGCTAACTCAGATGCTGTTTCAGTCTTTCTGCTCGCCAGCATTCTCACACTATGCCAATGACCCATCTTGGTACAAACAATTATTCTAAAATACTGTAGGACTATATATCACCCACTGTGCCCTATACCTCTGTTTATTTTATGTGTGTCTCCAGCACCCAGGAGAGAAATGGATACTAGTGAGCACATAATACAATATTTACTGACTGAAAGACTGTTTTTCTTGTTTATTCTTTTAGGCGACTGTATCTTACTCAAGCAACTGGGCAGGAATTGTCACCTGAAGAAAAGCCTTTGGAATTTGCAGAACCATTTATAGGTATTATTTTGTCACAATGGTGTTTACATGTTTTTCTTTTAATTAGATAAATAGCTATTAAGCATATATTATAGGCAGCAACTTACACACAAAAAAGAGCTATTCAGGGAATAGATACAGGCCAGCTCCTCTGGATTTCTCTCCTTGTAATGCTTGAACTAATCTGTCTCCTCTCTCTCATGGCACTTTCTAATCAAATTCACCATGTTTCATAATGACTTAAATAGATGGTAATGAACAGTGAGGGGGTATTACCTACATTGACATAGTTCCCAATTTAGCCAACCTACAGATTTCCAAATGATCACTGTAACTTATTAGCTAACAGAAGGGATTACAATTTAAGAGTTCCTTAAAATGCCCTACCTTACTTTAATCCATAATTTTCCATTTATAATCCTCAAATCTCTTTCAAATTAAAAATGTGACAAAGGATGTATTGCTTTGTCATAATTTTGCTTTTGTCAAATAAAGTAATTTATTTGCATTCATCCTAGAAGACAAGACAAAAAAGCAACCCACAGAAAGTGGAGACATGCTGAGCTCATCATTTGGGAGCAGTCTTCTCCATCTCAGTCATGAAGATAGTATCAGAGATGACCAGCATCTAAAGATAAGGGAAGAGGATACCTTATGCACAGAGTTTGGAGACTCTCATGTGAAATATTTACTATATGAAGATGAGCGGGATTTCAAGGTAAGATTCATGAGAACACAACTTTGACTACTAGGAGAAAGCTGTTTTATTAACTGAGAAAATTAACTTAAACCATGTATAATGAATCCTATTTGCAATTCTTACTAACTGGCCCATCATTCACATTTCTCATCGGATATTATTTTTGCTCCTACCCTTGGCCAACTTGCTTACATATATTCATTTATAGACTTCCATTACTAGAATACAATGTAAGTTATCTAATGTTGCATAACGAATTATTCCCAAACCTACCAGTTTAAAACTATATTTATTCTCTTTTGGGGTTTCTGTTGGTTAGGAATTCAGGAAGTACATTTCTGGATAATTCTCACTTGGGCCCTTGGGCAGTTGTACACGGTCAGCTAGGGCTACAGTAAGCTGAAGGGTTGGTAGGGCTGAAGTATCCATTTCTGAGGTGGATTACTTACATGGCTGACAAGTTGATGCTGGATATACTGGGCATCTTAGTTCCTCTGAATAAGGGCCTCTCCAGTGGGTGCGAGTATCCCTTTGTTATGATGTTTGGTTTCTCCTACAGTGAGCATAAGATAAAACCTGCAATGTTTTATATGACTTAGCCTTGAAAATCCTATACTATCATTTCCATCATATTCTATTGCTTGATGTATGTTCCAATCAAGGAGAAGGAACATAGCTGTTACATCTTCATGGGGGAGGGTTACCATCACATTGTAGGAACAGCATGTAGGGTAGGACATATATTAGGCATCTTTGGAAAGCACAAACTTTCACATATACCATCAGTTGAAGCCTAGATTATAAAGGCTTTTTATTTGAAGTTCTCTTTTTGGTATATTCTGGTTACCCCCATGTTCATTTGTTGCTATTTTCCTCCTTGGTCCCACCAAAAATTTAAAAGTTCTTCTGGAATTTAAAGTCTGGTAGGAGAAAGAAGGATGCATAAAAGCAGAAGAAATGAAATAAATCATTATTTTAAGTAATTACAATTCAGTCCTGCTACCATCAAGTGATCATTTAAAGACTAAAATTCAGGGGCTTAGGAAACAGCTTGGTGGTAGAATACTTGCCTCACATGCTTTAGGTCCTAGGTTTGATTCCCAGCACCATCAAAAAGATTAAGGTTTTAGTCTACCATTCAAATTTCTCCATGTGGACCTTGAAATCATGAACTCTGGTATATCATGATGATCTCAGGCTAGAGGACAATTGTCTATACAATCCCCAAATTGGGGCTTGTGGCTGGCGATATGGCTCAGTGGTAGTGCTTACCTACTATGCACAAGGTCCTGGGCTCAATCCCCAGCATAGGGGGGCAAAAAAGAATTCCAAAGGCATTTTTTTAAATTTTTTTACAATATATTTTTTAGTTATAGATAGATACAATATCTTTTATTTATTTATTTTTTTAATGTGTGGTGCAGCTCAAACCCAGTGCCTCACATATGCGAGGGAAGCACTCAATCACTGAGCTACAACCCCAGCCCCAAAGGCATTCTTACTGTTCATGAGTTTGTGGTACATACAAACTGCCATGGCCACTGTATGCAACATGTAGACCTCCTATCTTACATTTATCTTAGCTCTATAATTATATATTTTGAAAACTAAATACAACTCTACTCATTTTTGAGAAATAAACACTGCTTTTTTTCATTCAACCTTAATTCAAATAAATATTGAGAACCTCATTTCATGCCAGGTACTTGTTAGATGCTTGGAAATTTAAGCGGGAGAACAGGAAAATAAAGTCTCAAAGATGCCTGTATAGTAGGCACAACCCCCAAATTGCTTAGAGGTTCATAGAAGACAAATAAGAATACCAACAATTACCACACGAGAGGAAATGTATCTCCTGTATCTGTGTCTCTGACGGGTCTATGTGCTTGTTATTGCAACCCAGCACTGGATACATGGACACTCAGGAAAGGTTTGCTGAAGTGTTAAAGGAATTCAAAAGCAAGGGTTACGTGTTGGGAGGTTTCCAAGAGGAAAGAATGTTGGCTAGTACCTGAGCTGGTTCAACCGAGTTTGGGGTTAGCTATGGAATGTCATATAAACTAGTTTTCTAATTCTGCTTATTGACATCTTAGACCAATTTGGCAAAATGTGGTTTTATTTATATGAAAATATAAATATATTTATATTTAATAAATATAAATTTATTTATATTTATCCAAATATCCCAGGAAAACAGTGAAGAATGTGAGAAGTTGTCCAATATTAGGATATTTAAAATATTATTTGCAGAAACTTCCCCTTGGTTCTTGAATAATACAGAAAAGTTTGTTGTGGCTATATCCTAGCCAGTTGAGGGCTATGCATATAGGGCCAACACTCTTTTTCCAATTAAAAGCCTGCAGTGGATTTCCCCTCTAGCCAGTATCCCACCTACCTCAATTCCCTATGAGACAAGAAACCAGCCTTGCTTTTGCTTTTTAGGATACTTACCTACTATGCCCTACCTGGCATATAAACTTACAAAGTGTTTTTTATTGAGTTTTCTTTTTATATAATGGATTTCATATTTCATGTGTTACACAGCATTCAGGTAATAATGCAGAGGGCTATGGAATCTGCCAGTTAAAGGCCAACTCTAACATAGAAAACGTAATCTTTCAACATTAACTTGCTAGATAACCACTCCTCTTGTGTTTCTTCACCATAGGATTTTGTAAACTTGGGCCCACTGTCCGTGAAGCTCATGAGTGTGGAGAGCAAGAAAATGTCTATTCATTTTCAAGAAAAGGAGAGTCCAGTCAAATTCTTTGAAGATGTCAGTTACCCAGAAAGTCGCATCACTTATAAGATGATGAAGTCTTTTCTCTAAGACTGAAAGTTGCAAAGTAAAAAATTTTCCTTATAAATGCTTTGGGAGTTGAAGTAACCAGTTGCCCATTTTACTTAGTTACACTTTGGTCCATTTTTAAACTTATCTCTAAAGGTTATAATTGTAGTTAAAATCAAATTTCAAGTATTCAGTCATTTATTTGCATAGCATTAATGTCAAAAATCAAAGTACACTTTGTATTTCTACACTGAAGTACTGAGAACCATGACATTGAATTTAAAGTGGTCTTTGAGGTTCCTTCCCACTTAAAAACTCACTGATTAACCTATGACTCCAATATGAACTAGATCAATTAGAAATGTTTCTAAGAAAAATTTCAAGGTTTGCATAGCATTGATTATACATATTTCCTTGTTAGGGTGCTGAGAAGCCAGTCTATAATTCAAGCCTATTCTTTAACCCTACTTATAATGAATATTAAAAATTTAGATACAAGTGAGGGAGTTTATTTACTTTTTTAAAATAATCCATTAATAGGGGGATCTTCCCCTCAACAGCTATATGGAGTCCAAACTGCTGAGTCCCTACCCAAGGCAATCACCACTTCCCTCTGTAGGTACCATAAGCCACATGTAATGTGACATTGCACTCCTTGGATCATCAAGAGTAGATACTAACACTAAGTGCCATGTTTCTGTAATCCTTAGTGATGTAAAAAATAAACCCCTCCAGTCATCAATGGGAGATATTATTAACATTTTGGGTAAGAACAATTGTGTGTTCCTAGTTCCTCAATCTTAAATGCTGCTAACAACACACTCCTTAGTTACTAAAGTCAAAAATACCGACTGATTCAGTTTCCCCTGGTGTGGGGTGAATAGTACCAAAGAACCAACAACAATTGAATACCATTAAGTGTCTGTTCAATCCCCATTGTGTTCAGTTTTCCTGTCCCTTTCTACTATCTTCCGAGTAGCCCTATAAAACAATAGTAAACAAATACCATTGTTGAAAGTTTCCTTTACTCTGTGGTGGTCTTGACTGGCACCTGACCTTGACTGATGCCTGGTTCTTCATTTGTACTTCTTTCAAATGGATGGTATTTATTCTTCTATTCCTCCACATTTTCTAATGTCCATATAATTTCACCAGCTCAATGCCTGTTCCAGACAGCTATTCTGCAATCTCACATGAAAATATTCCTTTTGAAGTTGTATGTACATGTAACACTCTACCACTGAGATAGAAAAGAATAGGCAGTTGAGAGAAGGTAAGGGACAATAAAGGTTGACAACAGGGTGATCATAAGAAAAGCCATTTTAACATGCCCAGACATGTTATGAAACAGTTCCCATTTCTCAAAAGGCATGTTTCCATCTCAGAAGAGCAACTTCATAATCTGGCCTGTGCCTGCTATGGTATAATTGAAACATCAAAAACCAATCAAGAGAAGCTGATCAACTTCTTCTTTTGTGCCTTTAGAAGAAGGAAGACTTACACAGCACTCTTGCCCCTCCCAAACACGCTGCATCAGGATTTCTGAGTCTTTCACCTTCCTTTTAATAAAGATTCCTGCTCCCTGGCTTACCTTGGCATTCATGCTGTTCATCCTTGTACTCCATGAAACACAAACCTGATCCTGACTCTTGCTGTTAACATCACTGTCATTTTGCTATAACTTGCTAACCCTTCTTTGTCACTTTTCTCCATGATCTTGAATTTAGCATCTGGTTCACAAGGCTCCTTTCTACTCTACTTCATGCCCTACTGTATCCAATTATGCTTCTATTTGACCATTCCAGACCAACTCTTACCCTTCTGAGTCCCAAAGGGTGGCCTTTATGAACTACATCAACTGTCACCCTTGACAATTTTTTTTCCCCCAGTGGGAAGGGTTCTGACAGATAAAAGAAAGGAATAAGGGTAAGATATATTCCTCTGGCTTCTTCTCTACAAGGTCATATAGGTTAGTGGGATCTCACTGCCAAAAGATACAACTCACTAATATAGTTACTCTTTTGTTTTTGGTCCTGGGGATTGAACTCAGTGCTTTACTGTTGAGTCATATTTCCAGCCCTTTTCATTTTATTTTGAAACAGGGTCTTGCTTATTTGCTGAGGCTCAAATTGCAATTCTCCTGCCTAAGCCTCTTGAATCACTGGGATTATAGGTGTATACCACAGCAATAAGCTCAATACAACTTCTATTTAGGTCCAGTAACTGCTCCTTCCCTTTGCCCCTTCAGGCCCAGGAGTGGTAACAGTTTCCACCTGTTGCTATCCCAAGGGAGTTTCACCATATCTTTTAATTTCCCTTAATTCTGCCTACACCTTTGTATATATTCCCTTTATTAAACTTTCCTTAAATAACCTGTTGGAATGTGCCCTTTGTGTTCTGCTGGAAGAGGTGAAGGCTAGAGATATAGATCTGGAAACCAAAAGCAAAAGATTGAAATTAAGGCCATCAGGGGCTGGGGTTGTGGCTCAGAGGTAAAGCGCTCCTCTAGCATGCATGGGGTTCAATCCTCAGCACCACATAAAAATAAAATGAAGGTATTGTGTCCACCTATAACTAAAAAATAAAGATATAAAAAAATAAGGCCATCAAAGCCTAGGTATTACCTAAGGAGCAGAGAGTCAACAGAGAAGAGAGCCAAAGATGCATTTAGGATACTGTACTCTGCAGAGGTGGGGCTTGAAACAAAGGTATCCACCTTCAAAAGATCTGAAAACAGGTAGACTGAGTCTAAGTAAAACTGCAAACTAGCAGTGAAACAATTCAAATCCTGATTGCTTTGGGGGTGATTTGCTCCTTACTCAATATAATTAATAGAAGATATAAATTCTTTTCCTGTGTGTGTGTGGGGGGGGGGGATTCAGTTTTACAGCTGGAGATGTAGCTTAGTGGTAGAGTGCTTGCCTAGCATGTGCAAAACCCTCAGTTCAATTCCCAGAACTGGGGAGAAAAAAGACATTAAGTCAACAGATGATCCAGATATTCAAGGGAGCAATCTAAAACTTTAAGGATGTTATTATAAATATAGTAAGGAAAATACAGAGAATTTCAACAGAAAATTAGATTCTATAAAACATCATAAAATGGGAATTTACAAAATAGAAAATAAATAAAAAGTTGTATGGGTTTAATGGTAGACTAGGATCAGAATAAGCCAGGATTAGTGAGACTTGGGAAAAGTCAATATCTGATAGTATTCTCTCTAAAATCAAACACAATTTTAGAGAGAATAAAATACAGAAAAAGCAGAACAGAGTGGTAATGAACATCTGGGATTAAACACTACAACATACATAGAGTTGGCCTGTGAAAATAAAAGATGAAGAAATAGTTGAAGACATAACACTTATAGTTTTTCAACTATTAATTACCTTGATGAAAGATATTAACCTATAGATTCAAGATACTCAACAAACCCCAACCAGAATTAATGCCAAAATAAAACAGCAACAAGCTCACATAGACACACTATAATTAGATTGTTGAAATCTAAAGTGAAAGGTAAACCTTTATGGCAGCCTAGGAAAACAAATATATAACCTTCAAAGAACCAACAATAAGACTTTAAAACACAAAACTTTCGGTTGAAACTATGGAAGACAGAAGACAATGGGAGAATATCATTAAAGTACAAAATTGAGAGTGGGTGGGAAAGTCAACCTAGACGTCTAAACACACACAAAAAAAATTCTATCAAAATTAAAGCTCAAATACATTTCCTAACAAATAATAGCTGAAACAATGTCAATGATACACTTGAACTAGAAAAAATATTGTAGGAAGTTCTTTAGGCTGCAGAGAAAGGATCCTAGATTGAAATATGAATCTGCAGGAAAGAATAAAGAGCAGAAGAAAATAATATTATTTTAGTAACTGTAATACCCAGTGCAGGGTGAATGTGGTTAAAATGCTGTATCCTCCTTATAATGTTTGGAAAGTAGTGTAAATACTGGTTTGTGGTAAACAGTAATTTGAGAATGAAAAATGCAATTTTAAGGGTAACCAATTAAAGAAAAATAAAAACAGTAATATATAAAAAGATAAACGATACAAGATGATGAGGTTGAATGGAAAAATAAAAAGTACTTGGTTTATTTTTAAAAAGGGAAAGTTGAAACAGATAAAGAACAAAGAAGGCTGGGGATTTGGCTCAAGCGGTAACGCCATCGCCTGGCATGCGTGGGGTGCTGGGTTCGATCCTCAACACCACATAAAATAAAGATGTTGTGTCCGCCAAAAACTGAAAAATAAATATTAAAAAATTCTCTCTCTCTCTCTCTCTCACTCTCTCTCTCTCAACAAAGAACATGAATAGAAAACAAATAGCAAGATAGTATATTTAAACCAAATAATATCAGTAATTATATGTAATGGAATAAATAATCCAATTAAAAGACAAAGATTTCTGAGTACACTAAAAAATCACTTATGAAGATACACTATAAAAGGTTTCACACAGATTGAAAGAAGTTAAAGATTACAAAATATATACCATGCAAAGTCAACCAAAAGGAAGATGGTTTGCAAAGCTAATATCAGGCAACTTCCACTTTATGGTAAAATGCACTGAGAGAAATAGAAAATGAAGGAATATATTTCATAATGATGGGTCAGTCCATTATGATGATTTAACAATCCTAGATTTGTATGTACATAGTCTCAAAATATCTCAAGAAAAATTTGCAAAACAAAAAAAAAAGGATAATGAATTTAATATCATGCACATCTTAGGCTCAGGAGGCTGAGGCACGAGAATCTCAAATTCAAAAAAGCCAGCTTCAGCAATTTAGCAAGATCCTAAGCAACTCAGTGAGACTCATTCAAAACAAAATGCAAAAAAAAAAAAAAAAAAAAAAAGAAAGAAAGAAAAAGAAAAAGAAAGAAAGAAAAGTATGGGGATGGGGTTCAGTGGCTAAGTATCCCTGGTAACAAAAGAAAAAAAAAAAGGAGACAAATATAATCTAACTTGAAGATCTTACCACACTTCTCTCAGTAGAACAATTAGACAACAACAAAAAATCATT